CTAAGTGATGCATGATATCTGGTAATAGGTCACAGTGGATGCTTTTGCTATATAATTTATTCCACATTCAGGCAACATTATTTCTAAAAAATTTTTGGAAGCACTTATTATTATTTTCTCATCTTATGTTTGAAATATATTTGCTATTAGCTGGTCCCAGAACAGCAGGCAGTGCCTATACATCACTTGCACAGAAAATTCACTAGGGAGCTTAGTATTCATTAGAAAAGAACTTGAGCACTATTTATATGGTTAGATGGCAAAAATTAGAAATTGTCTGCAGCATGCCCAAATATAATTTTAAGAACAGCTACAAGATACTAACTATCACAACTCCGCTGAACACTTCCTAGTTCTAATATTTTTAATTCAGCAGTACTTGGTTTTTGACATACTGTGAGGAATACATAACTTTTCACACATATTCTCTCCCCCCATCCCCAGGGAAATAATTTGGTTTTCCTTCATTACAAGAAAATGACACAGCTGTGTTATTGGAGTTATCCACACACACTCATTTCAGGCATTTCTTGCTGAGTTTTCTCATATTCAAGCAAAGGTTCCTCAACAAACAAGTGAGACAGTTGTGGATGTGGTCAGTAAGCCAGTGACTTCTGAAAGGACATAGCAATCAACAAAACAAGAATGAAACAGACTCCCTTCGAGCACAGCCACATTCTGCTGTTCTGGGGAATCCACACACTTGGGGTGCCTCTACACTAATGCACACTGCATGGGGGACAGACGGGGGGGTCAGAAGTCTGTGTACAATTACAGGCCTGTGACAGCCCCAGGACCACAAAGGTGTGGTGGGATAGCTCACACGACTGTAGTGCCACAATGGATGGATACAGGCTCCTCACCAAGCACAGGCTGTGAAGGCAAAGAGGGGGCATCACGCTTCACGAGGAGCAGCACTGCCGGAGCTCTGCCTTGGGACTGCCCAGGAGCTAGTCAAGAGCCTGTGCGCCACAATTAGCTGGCAGGCCAACACAAGTGCTCCTGTAGCACTTACCTTAAGATCAACATTTTGGTATCCACAACCCCTGAGACTATGGGGCGAGCCTGGAGCAAGGAAGACTTACACCCAGAAGAGAACCCGCAGAGGAGGAAGTCCTTAACCAGCTTGGCTGCTTATGTAAGTCCATGGGGCCTGATGGGTTGCACCTATGAATGCTGAGGGAGATGGCTGATGTCACCCTGAGGCCACGTCTATTGCAAGAGGTTCCTGAGGCTTGGAGAGAGCAAATGCCACTTCCACATGGCTGAAGAGCCAGGCCCAGAGCGGTGTGATCAGCGGCACACAGTCCAGTTGGAGCCAAGTTGTCATCTCCAGGTGAACACTAACATTAGAACCAAGAGGAAGGGTGAACATAGCAAGAGAACTGAAAAACTTAATGTGTATCAGTTTTAACCGTATCTTTACTGGGAATGACTTGTAATAATTGAGTAATCTGGACTTGAAGTGTTAGTAACGTAAGTGCTAGTGACTGGACTAATAATTCTGTTATTGTCTTTAAATTCTAATCAACAAACTCTTGGCTTGCATAAGAAGTGTTTCCTTAGCACACCAACTGCATGGATGTTTGGCTTGGGTCCCCAGTCATGAAGACTGGTTATCAAATCTGAACACAGCAACTGGTGGAGAATACAGGCAAACCAGGCTGTGCTTTGGTTACAATATGAGTAGTCATCGTAGAGAGCTGATACCATTTTTGACATTTGCTTCTCAGCAGAACTTAAGTACGTCCCACAAAAAGTAAAATAAAAACAAAGTACTACTTCTGTACTGACAAACAAATGTGTCCTGTTTAAAAATCATGACATTTTCTCATTATCTTGTTGAGATAGATAAGGAAGACACATTAGACACATATACTTCATAAACAGTAATTTATTAAAGCAATTTCCTTTTCTTAATAAAATATGTGCTAATTTCCAGAAAATAACTGCCATCAAGAAAAAAAGGTATGTGCATATATATAATTTTTGCTGTACAGATTTTGCAAAGTAAGTGTTTGCATAGATTTCACAGTGCACCACTATTACTGTCTAAAATAGTCTATCCTCCTAAAATTCTTCATTATTATCAGGAATGCTTTGGTTCCTTCTGAATATAGTCAATAGAACAATACAAATAAAACAATAATTGCATTTTATGGCTTACTGGAACAGCTAATCTTCAAGTTGAAAACAAAATTTGTTTACAAGCAAAGATAAATAAGCTTTACCCTTCTTGTTCTGAACAAGGCAACAACCTTTTCAGAGCTCTACAAAGTTTTCCATAATGCCTTGTTTTGTTTTCATCTGCCAACTTTTTAGCTAGAAAAATTCTGAAAGATATCTGCACCCTCAAGCCAGTTTCGAAAACAGGATAGCCCTTTGTCTCTGATCTGTTTTCTTCCCTTGTCAGTAATGACTTCTCCAGTTTGTTTCACAATCACCAGTTTAGGAATTGCTGTTATGTTGTATTTCTTCTTCAGATCACTGAGGGGAAAAAAATTAAAAATAAAACACACAATTAGGGAGCATTTTAAGAAAGCTCCTAGTCTCTCATGAAGAGTACTCTGGTCAGGGTACATGGGAGAGCAGAAGCGGTGAGTGCCTGGGCTTCCTCAGAGCTTGAGGCAGAGCACTGGGTACTTGTCCTGGGTTTGAGTGGGTGGTGGGGTTTTTGGTAGCAGGGGAGGGGGCTACAGCAGTGGCCCCTGTGAGAAGCTTCTTGAAGCTCCCCCAGCTCCAAGTCAGATCCACCTTTGAACCAAGGACGAGCCAATCAGCTGCGCCTCTGCAATGACGTATTTAAGGACCTGGGAAGAGGAGTCATACATGTGAGGAGGAGTTGTGACATCTGCATAAACACCAAGGTCAGTGGAAGAACAGATGAAGAAAGGGGGGGAGGAAGTGTACCAGAGCAGAGACCTCCCTTTATCCTGTGGTGAGACAACAGTGTAGCCCCCCTCCCTGCACCACCCATGGAGGTCTACCATGGAGCAGACACTGATTTATAACCTTTGGGGGGGCTTCAGATACCCAATTAGGGTGACTTAACCCAAAGGAGGCCAGGACCCTGAGGGAAGAAGCAGCCCCTGCTGTTGTAGTTCAGTGCTGGGAGGATTGCAGCATGCGGGGGTGTCCCACTCTGGAACAGCTTGGGAAGGGCTGCAGCCCGTGGGAGGGACTCAAGTCAGAGAAAAGTTGTGGAGGGCTGTCTCCTGCAAGAGGGGGACCATACTGGAGCAGAAGGAAGAAGTTCCGTAAGTTCCCATCCCTGAAGATGGCAGAAGCAGCAGCACTGACTGCACCCCACATTCCCTGCCCCTGCACCGCTGGGGGGAGGAGGTAGAGATATTGGGAGCAAAGCTGAGCCCAGGAAGAAGGGAGGGATAGGAAGTAGATATTTTCAGGATGTGGTAATGCTTCTCAGTGTCCTACTCTGTTAGGTGGTGGTGGTGGTATTAGCATCTGTAATAAATTCATGGGTTTTATCCTTCCTTAACTAGTCTGTCTTTTGCCTGTGACTGTAATGGGTAATTTATCCCTCCCTGTCCTATCTCTAAACCTAAAACTTTGCTTATTTCCCCTCTCAACACTGGGGGGGGGTGGGGGTGGGGGGGGTGGTGGTGAAGGGAGGTGCGTGCAGCTATGTGGCACTCAGTTGCCCTCTGAGCTCAAACCACAACAGTAGTACAGGGAGAGAAACAAGGCTGCAGCTGGGAGTTTACAGAGTGAAACTTAGCTCAGGGAGTCACAGACCCTTCCTGTAACTGCTTTTCACTGCTGCCTGCAGTCTCCACAAGACCAGAGACTTTTAGAGACTGTAAAGAGGTCAGTGGAAGGAAAGTGAGACAAACCCTTCCACATTGTTTTTGCTAGCCAGAAACTGATGTCTTCTGATCCCTTTTTACTGGATAAGAGGATCTCACTTAAATTAGCATTAGACACTTATTCCTGTACAAGGATGTTCAAGGGTGCCAATCCCACAGAGCTACTTCATATAATCTCCATTAAAGTATGATGCATAATCCTTTAGTGTAAATAGAAAAGCCTGCAGAAATGCCTTGAACTCCCCACTGAAACAGGCCTTCTACATACAGAAATGTAAGCAACTTTAAGATTTGGAATAAGGGCTACCCATTTAAGATGTCCAAGAATAAAGTTTCAACTCTTCCTCTGTCCATCACACAGACAATAGTGGTCATTTATCTGTCAGTAGATGGAAAAATCCACAGGGATTACAAATAATATACTGTTTTATAACAAAACATAGTTAAAATGCAGTTAAAAAATTAAAGCGCCATACAAACAATGATACTCCATGAATGAAATCTGGATCTATTCAAGCAACTGATGAGTAGGTAACTCAGGAATAATTGGTACAAAAATACTTCTGAAGGACAGAAGTTTAATGGGATCAAGCTGAAGACAAATGGAAAAAATAAACTGATTATTAATATTGGAAATAAACATTTGGGAGGGAAAAACATAGAGGACACAAACCATCCAAGAGAAACAAAAATACTACCCGGAACTGGCACGATAAATAACAAGGCATGACTAATACACACCAAAGATGAAAGTGCACAAATATCAGGCTATCAGCCACATCACATTAAGTAGTAAAACAGAATTCACTGTTTATATAGATGAAAGAGATGAGTAAGATGCAAACAAAAGGAACATACAAAAACAGAAGAAACAAAAAATAATGCATAATAAACCACTTCAGTTGACCATGGCACAGACAACAGAAAGGGCATGATGAAAAACATTTCCAAGGAAAACAGTTTAACAGCTATGACACTGTTACAGGATGGAATAAAGAAAGGGAAAAGCCATGGACATGGATCTATCTTTATAGAAAGATAGTATCCTTTATACAAGAATTTCACATCACTTGGAAGGGTGATGTTTCAGTACAAGTGAAAAAGTAAAATTCAGGACACAAGCCAGAAAAACAATTTTGAGACTAAGACTTAATCATGAGCACTGACAACAACTTTTTGGTATGGATTTTATTAATTCACAACAGAGGTAAAAGACAGTCAGTGAGCTGTGAGCTCTGAGCTCATTAAACATCTCAATGTACATCAGATAAAATCAGAGAGAATTGTTGAGAGTGCTGCTCAACAGGAGGAGCTTCATGTGTTTCCAGGAACCCCAGAATCAGTTCACTGCCCCAGTTCCAACTCAGAAAGAAAAACAGATAAAGAAAGTCTGAAGTTTCCTGTCATGTTTATCAGGACACTGCAAAAACAAATTCTTTCCAAATGCATGGTGATAACAGAAACACTACTTCCATTAACACTAAATGTACAAAGAAGAAAACAAGCCATTTATTGAATACAAATAAGCAGGCAGAGAAATGGGTTTAGACATCTGATCATAAAGTCAGAACCACACCCATCTGTTTCCCTGCCTTTTTCAAACTAATCTAAAAAGGTAGGAAAACTATTACCTACCTCTTGCCACATTCATAGGTCATCCTCAGCACATCAGTTCATTGTGCTAATGTTCACATCAGAGAGCAATTAACAAAACAATGTAGATGCTCATGAATTTGCAGTGTTCATTTTGGAAGGCAGAAGTTAAGAAAATATCTTATAGCACATCATCATCACAAGTGATATTCCATAATTTTTGCAGCAGGAATGCGAGCTATGGTGACAGACATGCTGGTATCCAACAAGAAAAGTGAGGAACATAATATCTACACCTAAGAGGCAAGTCATGCAGCCTAGAAGAAAGCCCAGAAAGACATAATCAGTTTTGAAGAAGTGGTCATGTATTTCATTAGGAGTGTAAGAAACAAGTTAAGTGAACTGCAACAGATCAGCTAAAAGTAACAGCCTCCTCAAAACAAAGGTAACCTGTTGTATGGGAAATCACCTCCCTGCACTGCCTTATATCAAAACGAGCAGAAGTTAAGCATCTTTAGAAGAACCAGAGGATACACTCACAACAAGCAATAGTGGAATAGCCAATTTCCAAAATATGAATAACATCACTCCCAGAACAAAACTTAAAACACTAAATGGAATTGTAGTGCCTGAGCACCTTCATTACAAGCAAGAAAATCTGCTATGTGAGGTTCAAATGCCAAAGAATTTTGACTGAGTAGAAAAAAAAGACCTGTAGACACTGTTAAAAAATACAAGATGTTAATATATAGACATTCTTTATGATTTCCTGGAAGAGGAGTCATCTTTAAAATACAGAAAAAAACTTAAGTGAAATACTGGCCCAGACAAGGTATTCCTGAAACACATATTTCCTTCTGTTTTTTTCCTTGAAAAGAAAAATCAACAGGTGAAGGATACAGCTCTGCCATTATCTTGCCTGAGCAATAATGCAGGCAATATTACAGAAGCAGCAATAATACAGTCTTAGCAATGGACTCCTTTTCTCAGAGAATTCTGAAATAAAAGCAAGCAACCAAGATCCCCATAGACCCTTCAGAAGTCTGCTAAAATGGAAGAAAAAAACATTCCAAAGCAAATTTGTGTAGAAGCTACGTAAAAAACGATCACCTTATACCACCTGTATGACAAACAAGATTGGTGTAAGATGCATTTTACTGGTTCAGTGGACAATAATACAGCTTTAGATGCCTAGTACAATCATAGCCAAGAGAGAACAGTAGGAAACAACGTAATTTGCTATGGAGACTGGAAACTAACACTTTGCTTTCCTAAGGGAATGCATATATAGCTTACCCACTCCAGCATGGCACCTTGTTTACACTGTTTCTTGGCTGATGATTGCCTGCCTCAAACCAGACTGAAGCATGCACAGATTTTAGTTGCATTTGTGTGCAACTTGTAAAATGAATGGAGCTGAAGAAGGCTCGGGAACAGTTCCACAGACAGTGCTTCTTAAGTCACTGTATGTGTGTACACGTGCTTACAAACCCAACTATTTGAAACCTGTTAGATCATCCTCTCCTATAGGTATCCCAAACCCTGTGACTCACCCACATAAACTACGTATGTGCCATGGGACTAACTCCCATGACAATTTATGAAATCATTAACCATAAATAGAAACATCACACGTGCTAAAGAGAAACTCAATTCTCTTACAGTAAAATACAGTGATGTAAATAATGACATTCTTAAAAATCAGTTGCCTAGCTATTCCCAGGTAAGTGTAAAGGCACATACAGTGTCTTACTGACTATAAAAATCTAATACCCAAACAGACAAAGCAGAAGAGGAAGTTATAATAAAAGATAGCTATGAAAACTGAACGAGAACCCTTGTACAGGCACAGGGACTCTTTTAGCCAAATCCTTTGAGATATCAGACCTTGGCCATGCAGGTTAGAACATGAGAGGGCAACAATCATTTGCATATGAAATACCAAAAAGATAAAATGAAGATTGAGTCAAACTGGAATTCACTGCAACTGTTAGGACTTTTGATCCTTATGAGACAGCTGGATGAACATTTCTGAGAGCGGAGACTTTATATTACTAGGCACCGCTGGCATTGGCTGGGATGGAGTGAGTTTTCCTCATAGCAGCTTGCATGGTGTTTTAAATTTCTTACCAAACCAGTGTTGGTAGCACACCAATTGTTTTAGGTATTGATGAACAGAGTTTACAGAGCAGCAGAGCCTTTTCTGTTTCTCATGCTGCCCCACCATCGCGTAGGCTGGGGATGCAGCACAAGGAGCTGGGAGCACAGCTGACCCCAACTGACCAAAGGGATATCCTATGCCATGTGACATCATGCTCAGCTGAATAAAGGAGGTGGAAGGGACCAACATTCAGAATTAGGGCATTTGTCTTCCAAGCAACATGTGACAACACATGATGAAGCCCTGCTATTCTGAAAATTGCTAACCACCTGCCTGCTGATGGGTAGTAGTGAATGAATTCCTTATCTTGCTTTGCCTGTGTACTCACCTTTGCTTTACCTATTAAACTGTCTTTACTTCAACCCCACAAGTTTTCTCACTTTCACCCTTCAGATTCTCTCCCCCATCCCACTTGGGCAGGGAGTGACCCAATAGCTGGGTGAGGCTTGGCTGCCTACGAGGGCTAACTCACAACATCAGTGAGCATTTTTATGTAAGGTTTTAAGATCTACACACGAGAGTGTTTTTGAAATGTGGACAAAGTTAGTAGCATATTGGGAACATAAATGGTACATTTTATACACTTGTGTAATATGATATCTGACAATATTTGAATTTTAACAGCTTTCATTTGGAAGTGCTTTTATTTGAAACTGATGGATACCTTGCTAATCTGCTTATAGCAGTATACCCTGTAATACACAGCTGTATGTCTATTTTCTTTTAGCTGTGAACTTTCTGCATTAAGTGTGAGTCACATAAACAAGCACATCATACGGAAGGGATTCAATTTTAAATTGTCTGTTGAGATGGTGGGATAGCAGTCTAAAAAGACTAAAGAACAGGCAGTAGCTCTTAACTGCTCAGATACTTTCACTCTTCTCCTGCCTTCTCTTTTCAACACCTCCACCCCCCCATATATTCCCATAGGTGCCAATCCACCCTTATACCTAAAGCTTCCTAATTAAAAAGGGTATGCTTACATTTTATTTTTCCTCTTTCAGGAATTCTTTGCAATTCTAATTGTCACTGAGGTGCACAGGACATGGGCTCAGTAAGTACCTGTCTATCTGGCAGCCTGCAAGAACTACTAGCATGCACTAAGCATGATGCCTTTCAACAGTAGGGCTCAGTATAAACACAGCAGTATGTCTTTGTGTATCATAATTAAAACATGAGTCCCCATTTACTAGCATTCCTCCTTGGCATGTTCTGTCCTACTCCTGATCTTCCTACTATTCCATTTCTCCTCCTAGTGCTCACTTCCTACTAGATTGTCTTCACACACCCCTGCAAGGATCAAAAGCCTGACACCCCTGCAAGGATCAAAAGCCTGTGTGTCAGAAAAAAACAACATTAAAGCTGCAAACAGTCAAGGTATCAGGAGTAGCATTTCCTATTAGTCATGCCAGAGTCGACATGAAGCAGTAAAGGTGCAGTCCCACCTCATGGAAATAGGACTGACACCCTGGAAGAGTCTTGAGATCCTGTGCTGAATTCAGTATTTTGCTTCTCTGCAGCTATGTGCAAGGCATTACACTTCATACACTACAAGTATGAATGCAGGCTATTTCTCAGCAAGAGAAAATTCATCCTCAGGAAACTCCACGCTTCTCTTTGTGAAATGTGTTTTAGAAGGCAAATTAAAATTGGCTCTACCGTGCCTAGAAGACTTCAGACTACGCTGCTATTATATATTTTAAACACTTAAGTCACCAGCTAAAATATTTTAGCTTCACTAATGATAGGGAAATGCCTTCTTTACATAGTCCACAAAAGAGCAACCAATTCAAATTATTTACAGTGGAACTTTAAAAATAGTCATGAATAATACATGTTAATATGGGAATGTTAACAAATATGAATAAGCATCTTATTACTTTATATTAGTCACTTTAAAAGCTATATTCTTACTTCAAATTAGTATCTAGCCAGAATTATAGTCTGGTTTAGTGAACACACATCTGTCTGGTCTAAGTCTACAATGATTCACTAGTATCCCTGAAGCCAAGCTACTGGTTAATTCAATCTAAGCCCCTTTAACATCTCCACACAGCCCTTTATTGTTATATGCAAGAAGCAAAACTTCAAAAACACTGCCTTTTCATATCTCTCTGCACTCTGTTCTTCAATAAGCCACACTTCAAACACTACGATCTCACAGCCATCTGAGAAAAGACAAGCCATGTTTCTCTACAGGATTTTGAAGGGCATAATGGACTGCCACAGAAAAGCCAATTAAACTATCTCTGTACTTCCATTCCACATGACTTGGACAAGAGCAGAGTCAGAAATAGACCCCTAATCCACAGAGGCTGAAGTGGTAAACGCATTCCCCTGGTCTATGTTGAACAGCTTGCTGGACACAAATCCTACATTTCCGTCAGGAAATATCCCTGAATTCTCTTAGGATTAGCAGTTACCGAATACAATTACTGCCTGCTGAGCCTTTGAAGAACTATGGAAGACAGCATTGCTATTTCAATCTATTTTTGAGTCAATGGAAACTGTCGCTAAAAAGGCCTAACATTAATTGGCCACTGACATCCAGGAACGAGCCAAGGAAGGATGAAATAGTTCCTGGCTTCAGGTTGTCGGCTCTTGAGGTTGTCAAAGTGCACTGACAAAATACAATTAGTAAACCTGCCCGGCACTGAGCAAGTAGCTAGGGTGTTACAGAGATCTATCCCAGGTAGCACACAGGGATAGGTCTAGTTAAATGAACACTAGAAACTACTAGAAGCACTAGAGCATCGTTCTTTGTTAGGAGAACAAAGTTTGTTGTAAGTATAATTACCCAGATTACATTTAAAAATCACGCAAATGCCCTGATTTTGATAACATCTGTAATACTATTTTCCACCATGTACTTGTGTTATTTAAAGGGGGGAAAAAAAAATATCCCTTCGCCAGTATTTACGCATATTTTAAATCTCCAGTTACAGGCATTTCAGTGGCCATAAGAATTTCACCTGTGCCCCCATAATCCCAATCTCTTCTTTCTTGGTATGAGCTAAATCACATTTCTGACAGTCATCCAAATGAGTCTACACCCTTGACTTCGGTCATCAAAACAGTTCTTGGTATTACCCTTCACCCTGTCTTACACACAGCTGCATCATTTCCTTTTGTTGAGCAAGCTGCCTAGAGGAATGCCTCTTCAGAAACCTATCAGCACAAGAATTTTACATCCCAGTTACCATGTGCGTTTGCCACTGCTAAACTCTAGCTGTATTGCACTCCTTTTTCACCTAGCTTACCTATCTCTGTCTGAAATTCTTCACAGTTTGATCTGCTCCCCTCTAAGGTGTTCAGCTGCAAGCTTCCCTTGTTCCTTTGCCTTTTCTTCCCAGAGCACTAACAAACTAGACAGCCCAGAACAACCTTAAGAACTACTGCTGTGCTGAAAAACAACCACTTGCTCCTCGTTTGCCATTAGTTCGCTTTTGACTCCCTGTTGATGTCACCTCGTTAATATCCGGGGGGCTTTATGAGCCTTTCTTCGAAGACCTCTCAAATCCTGAATTACGCGTGCAAAAACTAGCTTTCCTTCGCCGCGCCCTTCACGGACGGCACAGGCTAACCGCAAGTTACTTCCCCGGGGAGAGCGAGCTGCTAGTTCGGCGCCAGTCCGCGGACCGCCTCCGCGGGGGCGCAGGGAGGGCCGGGGAAGGCAGGACGAGACGGGGGGGGACGCGGGACGGACACGGCAGAGCCGGTTGCGGCCAGAACCCCGCTCCCTCCCCCGCACCCCCACCGGGCGCAGCCCCGTCGCCCGTCGCGGGAGGGGCCGGGGGGGTCGCGGCCGCCCGGTACTCACTGCTTGTAGGGGTCGTGGAAGGGCAGGGCCAGCCAGTCGCCGTGCATGGCGTGCATGTAGCCCGCCATCTCCTCGGCGCTGTGGTCGGAGGAGATGAAGACGACCTCAAAGGGGGCGGGAGGCTGCGTCTCCTCCAGCAGCTCCGTGTAGAAGTCGCAGAGGACGGGGGTGAAGTCGCGGCAGGGCGCGCACCAGCCGGCAGAGAAGTACAAGCCCACGACCTTGTTCTGCAGGGCCTCCTCGGCGTCCACGCTGTGGCCGTCCTTGCTGACCAGGAGCCGCCCGCTGAACACGTCCACCATGCTGTCACCGGCCGGACCCCGCGGACCGAAATGCGGCACGAGGGGTGGAGCTGCGCGACCAGGAGGCCCCCGGCGCGGGCCCGCCACGCTGGGACCGCCCGTCCCGGCCGCGCCACTCGGCCCACGCGGAGAAAACTGCCCAGCACCCCTCACCACACCCACCCCCCTCAGCCCGCCGCCGCCACCACCACCTTTATAGCCGCCCGCCGTCGACTGACAGATGCGCTCGCCAATGGGACGCGTGAGGAAGGCGTGGCCCCGCCCCGCCCCGCTCCTGCCGGGCTCTAACGGGTGGCCCGGGCGCGCGCCGGCCCCCGCCCACGAAAACACAGCTTTTTGGGGGGATTGTTGTTTGTTTCTTTCTTCCATTGACCTGACCCCAATTTTTTTGTTGTCTACAGTCACTTTCTGTCCTGAGGGGAAGAAACAATGTGTGATTTAAAAAATTTGACCGTGTGAGAAAAAGCCCCCAGCAGCACCTCAGAAGGAACACAGCAACGGTTTCGGGTGTTTTGTTTTGTTTTGTTTTATTTTTCGGTTTTGTTTGTTTGTTTGGGTTTTTTTTGTGTTTGTTTTTTTGTTTTTGTTTGTTTGTTTTGTTTTAATTGCTTTTTTAATTGTTTTATTTGGTTGTTTGGTTTGGTTTTGTTTGGTTTTTTAGTTTGTTTTAGGTTTGTTTTGTTTGGGTATGTTTTGCTTTGTTTTGTTTTGGTTTTTTCTGGTAGGCTTTATCAAAAGTAACTGCCTGGTTGTAAGATCAGTTTGATTTGGGAGATGCATTCACCTGTCCTTCCTTTTGTCCCTTTTCCCTTTTGTTATGCAAATACACTGCCAATTAAAAGATTGCTTGCTTCTTATGCAAAAACTCACATGTCTTTAAAAAAAGCATAAGAGTTCATCTATATTATTATTATTTAAGAGATTTGTTTATATGCAAATTAATCTTTACAAATCAGGCCTTTTTGTTTAAGTCCTAGTATATCTGACTAGTTTGTAATTACTATTCTGATATTTTACTAGGAAAAAAAATGCTTAGGTGTTTGGGAAGTGGTTTTTGTTCAAATACAGTATTTCTCTATTTTCATGGACTGTTGAGCTATATTGTTTTCAAATCCAAGTATCTGCTTCTGATACAGAAGTGACATTTAAAACGTAATGCTCCCATCTCGTATCTCCCATCAATTGTTTCTCCAAGGTTTACATGCTGTTTTGTCCTGTTGCCCCCTTCAGACTTCCACTTGATGTCAGAAGTAGAAGGCAAAAGGATCTGTGAAAGGTTGGCTGTTCTTAAAATAGCACAGAAGGGAAGTTCAGCTCACCTGAGCCTTTGTTTTGCTACACTGTCTGCCTTTGTGAAACCACTTGTGGAACAGGATGGAGTTGGGAGTCTTTGGAGACTGTAGAGTCACAGAAAAATGGAAAAAAACCAAACAAACAAACAAACCAAAGTTCCACGTAAGTTCAGGCTACTTTAGGTTCATTATTGATGTTCCTATGCATTTCTCCTTCAACCAGCAAAAGCATATTTTCTCAGATATTATGAACTGAAGCAAAAATCTCCACTTAGACTGATAATAATGGAGCTTTCTATACAGAATCTGTGGTCCTTTCTCAAGGGAGTGTATTAGATCTCAGACAACACTATCAGGAAGCTTGTAAATAGTGCTCATCCAGTGGAAGCCTCTGAGGATTTTCAGGGTAAAATAATTGAGACAAAGATGCCCCATCACAAAATATTGCATTTCTGATTTTGCTAGAAAACAAGATTTTAATTTTTGAATTTACTATATTATTTATAATTATTATTATTTACTGTATTATTTGCATTACCAGTATTTAGTTCTATCTACTAATTTAAAAGCAAGACTTTCAGTTTGTGTTCACATTGCAAAGATGATCCTACCTCCCTTGTGTGTTTTGCTTCAATTAACATTGAAGTTAATTACATATCCAGGTTTTGACAAACAAATGATAATTTTAAAAAAGATATATAAAGAGCTCACATCAATAAAGTCATGTTTTCCATGATATAGGGCAGCATGCTGAGAAAGAGACACAGAAGAAATGAAATGGAAGTAAAAAAATCTCCAAACTTGCTAACTCCTATATAATATGATATACACTCAGGGCAGTGTAATTCCATACACCTTTGGTGGCAGAGCTAATGTCTCCATAGGCTATATAAAAGTTAAACTAGAAGAAGGTTCTGAAAGCCTATCCAGGTCTTTGATGAACACACTCTTCACTCTCTCCTTCCTGCACTTTTTCCACAGCTGCCATTGTTCTGGAAAGTAAAGGATTTGATCCAATAAACATTTGCAATAAACAGTCTCATAACTTGCAGCATATGCATGATGCTGGATTTTGAAGTGAAAAGGTATTAAACACAATCTACTTACAATTCTTAAGTGATCTGTTGGAAATGAATACCTGTATAACACAATTGACATTGACAAGTTGTAAGTACATCCAGTGAAGCCATAAGGCAAAAGCTAACTAAATTTACTCAAAGGAGAGTGTTGCCTGGATGGGGGTTTGTTGGACCTGTGTTCAATTTAGTCATTAGCACGCTGTGTACTTAACTGTACTATAATTTAAAAAATAGAAGTAACAAACATAATCAAGGTAAGGTTTGGTTGGGCGAAACTATATTGAATGCAATCCCTGTGAAGTCAAATTAGAAACTGACCTTGGAGAATTCCAGTCGGAAAATCAGACCCCAAAGGAGACATCAAGAGAAGGAACACACAGAATGACGGAAACATACAGGTGGATTAAAGAGTTAAATATATAGCAGTCATTGGTACAACTAGATGAAATAGTTGATTTTAAATTCACTTTCACAGTACATATCAATATGTTTTGCAGGAAAGCATTATTATAATCTGAATTATTGATGAGAAAACGTAAAATTACTTTTCACAGTGTATACAGTGAAACAAACTGAAAGAAATCTTCTTAGTCTCAACCCAATACACTAACCAATGAGCTGTGAAAAGAGACTAGTGCACAAAAAAATGCTGAGCCAAAACCCCCTCAATTTTACCATATACAATCTGCCAGCTAAAATAGTTATTCACAGCACTCCATGGAGCTGCCACATTTGGTAGTCTGTTTCCTTAGCTGAGATCAGGAGACTGAAACACATGGGTCATTATTACATAGTCAGCAGTAATACAAATACTTTGTGAATGTTGCTTAATGACTGTTCTTGGATCTACTTCCCCTATATAAACTCCAAACACAAAAGAAATAGCAATATATTTTTCTGAAATAGGAAAACTAACCAAATAAGTAGTCCATAGGTTCTTTACTGCCTAACAACATACTGGAGACATCAAAGAATAGCTGTAAGGTAATCTTGCTTTCCCTGGATAAGAGAGATACTAGGATGTAGTTTATCATTATTACCACAAAGAGATCTAGTATCAGGTCAGGATGGAATAAGAACTGTAAGAGCTACCAATTAATCAAAAAATTTTAGTAGATAAGATACTGTTTAGGTAAGGAATATCCCTGTGTTTTGAAGCACCAGATTGTTACAAATGGTAGGTAGTAATTATTATAGATAGCGATTGTTATAGTAACATTTGGAACGTACCCCTGGGCCTCAGATTAATACTTTTTTTTTGGCATAAATAAACAATAGCACATACAGCAAGGAGGAAAGAATGCCATTACAAAGACTTATGCATGAGCTGGATTTGATAGATTGCAAGGAATTTTTTTTTTTATTATTCTTTTAATCAGGAAATACTCAAACACATCAAGAGATTCTAACTAAGCAAGAAACCTATTACAAACAGTGCAACAACTAGGGCTGCATTCTTCGCATTGTTTCCTAGGCTCAAAACTATAGCAGTGCTGAACATTGGAAAAATAGCAAAGGTATAAGAATTTCTCCTTGCAGTGTGAAAAGCCTGTTTCAGCCATCCTTTGCATCTAACTTTATTCTGGCTAGTATGTATCAAATTGCCAGATAGTATTAGATAGTTTAAATACCAGTGCTGTAGCATTTCTGACTTCCAAACAGGTACAACAGGGAAGCAATTCAGAGTCATCTAATACAGCAGCATGGCAACAAGGAACGTTTGTGCCTGCAGCAGTGGAAAAATACTGTAATAAAATTCTGCTCCACTTCATTTGAGTTCAAACACTCCTCTACTCTCTTTAGTTTTTTGGCAGTGTAATTAAGCAGACATTTTTTTGTGATGAGGCCTCTGACTAGGTTTATCCCTTTCAGGGTCAAAATCATCCAGCGTTAGATCCTGCATTTCTGTGGTTTATGAGAAGTGTAAGGGTGTGTGAGACTTCCTGCAGAATCCAGCTTAGTCCTCTACAGCCACTAGCAACCACCATCTAAATCGTATTAGTTTCCAGAGCTTTTGATGGAATAAGGAGGCCTGCTTGTCACAGGGAGGGACTCCATAGTTTTGCTGATAGTTTCAGTTGCTTTGTTTAAGTAATCTGATAGGCACTGAAGAGGTAAGAGATATGGAAAATTACAAATTGACAGTAGTGGCAAGGTCTGCTTATAGGACTGCTTAATGTAATAATATTTTGTTCGTAGTCCTGCTTAGGAATCTGCCTAACAAAAGAATAAGATACATCTTATCTATGAATAACAGGCTTGAGGCTTGAGCCTGTCTGCTTGCATGATTCAGGTACATTCCTATCTATGAAAAACAAGATAATGGAAGAAGGACACTGAAGCCTGCAAAACTACCAGGTGCAACTGGTTTTGTAGTCTCAGCTGTAAGGGAAAGGTGGAGACAGAACCAAGTTCACAGGAAGGACATTGTGATGAAGTAAATGTCTTGGTATTTCTCTGTGGTGAATGATGAAGTAAATGACCACTGGGGGTCCTAGAAAACCACCTGGAGACTGTAGTGCACATGTGGAAGTAGGCGGCAACATATTATAATGATTTATTGGAAAAGTAATGAATATTGTAATTAGTTCTTAGAAATTACATGAACATGTAAGTGATTTGTGTATAAATATCATAAACTCCACTACAGTGGTCTACATATTAGGAGGAATGATCCCCTATGCGTCCGACGTGTTGAGTAAAGAATACCTGCTTAATAGTTAATATGGCTACTGAGACTGAATTCTCGGCTTCAGCACGTATCCTCTTCTGACAAGACTTGAATCAGAGGCTTCAATCATGGAGAGAACA